GTTTTTTTTTGTTTGACGTGGATGGGACCCTGACCCACGCAAGGGCGGTGAGAAATGGGGGGGGAGGTACATGTGCCTTGCTTCGATTTGAAGTGGTTCGCATGGGAGCAATCCACACGGGTCAGCCGCCCGCTCACCGTTTACATGGCGTGCACATGCCGAACACATGACTTCCCTCCCCCGTGCAGCCGATTGAAGAGCGCTTGGTGCACGTTCTACGCAAGCTCCACTCCAAGGGGGACGTTGCCCTGGGGGTGGTAGGAGGGTCAGACTACCGGAAGATCATCGAGCAAATAAAATGTATGGAGATGGAAAAAAAAAAAAAACGGGAAGCGATAGGAACGCCTCGTCCTTGCAAACAAGCGACAGATTACCCATGAGACAGCTCATCAGTTCACTCCTCCCTCACACACATACACACAGTGAACATGTATGTGCATGAACAAAAAAAAACCACACACATACACTACTGTTTGTTCTCCCCCCCTGTTTGAAGACCCCGAGATATTCGAATTCGTGTTTTCAGAGAATGGAGTTGTAGCTCATAAGGGCAAGGAGCAATTTTACTCGGACGTATGGCTAAGCAGATTTGTTTAATATGAGGGTCGCTGCTTCTTCCCTACTACACTGCATTTCACAAATTACCATTGTACATGTAATCATCCTCCGTGCTCACTTCCTCCTTTCGCCCCCTCTTATAACAGAGCATAACGAAATTTCTCGGCGAGGAGAACATGCAGCAGCTGGTGGATTACTGCTTAGTGTACATTGCGAATCTGCGAGTGCCAAAGAAGCGGTACGACAAAAAATTTGCGTGACGGTGTGGTGGCCATAGCAGGAAGCGTTGCAGAGTATATAATACAACGGGAAACTCGTCTCCCCCCTTTTTTTTTTTTTTTTTTGTCTTAACACAGAGGGACCTTCATCGAGTTGCGCAACGGCATGATTAACATCAGCCCCATTGGGAGGAACTGCACACGGCAAGAGCGTGAAGAGTTTTGCAGATACGACGCGGATAATTCGATCCTGCGTACGTTCCAGTTGGACTTGACGAGGAAGTAATGTCTGTTGGAAGCGTTCCCGCTGCGCACTTGTACTCATGCTAGACGGTGCCGCCTCCTCACGCCGCTTCTCTCCCATTCACGTAACTTCACACCGCTCCTCTCCCATTCACGTAACTTCACACCGCTCCTCTCCCATTCACGTAACTGCACGCCGCTTCTGTCCATTTCGCTTCGCCAAGCTTTTCGCAGTTCAACTTAACATTTTCGATCGGAGGTCAGATCTCCATTGACTGTTTCCCCTCGGTTAGAAATTGAAGTGAGATGGTTGCAGCAACTCTTGTTGGGGTAGCAGTGGCCGCTGGGGGGGTGCTCTGCACAAGTGATTGTTGCTCAGTGGCAGAGCTCTCATGGGAGGACATTAACGGTTACGTGTTTTTTTTTTTTTTTTTTTACCTCCCCCTTATTCGCAGGGATGGGATAAAACGTTTTGCCTGAGGCACATTGAAGGGTTATTCAGTGAGGTACTTTTTTTTGGCGACAAGACGGAGAAGGTAACGGTGGTGGAAACAAAAGGAAAAGAAAAAAAAAAACACATGACTATGTGTTCAAGGCGTGCCTCCATATTTGTGTCTTCACGTTGGCATGCGTGTGTATGTCATGTTATATAACCTGGGAGTCTGTTGGGAGGAGTCCTATTTCTACCGCGCGCTACCGCTACGACATGAAGTGGGTCCCCTTTTTTTCCATACAGGGAGGAAACGATTACGAAATTTTTCACGACCAGCGAGTGCGTGGCTTTTCTGTTAAGAGTCCTGCGGAGACGGAAGAAATTATTAAATCCTTTTTGGACCCATAGGGCAGGTACTTCCCTCATGTGTGTCATGGAGAGGGGAAAGAAGTGGGGTATATATTTTTTGTGTGCGGTTAAGGGGGCACTGCAGGGGTGATGCAAAACAAGGACGGCGTAACAAGAACGTATTGGCAGGGTGAACTCCTCTGCTCCTTTTTTTTGCTTCCCCGTTTGCTTCGCGGGAGATATTTTCTTTGTTGCCCTTCCACCCCCGTTGTGATTTTTTTTCGTCGTGGAAGAACACATGTAAATATATGTTAGCCATTTCTGCAATGTCTCATTTTTTTTTTTTTTTTTAGCTCGTTCTCTGGTGGGGGGGTAGGGAGATTTTCCAAGTGGCCGCTTTTGGCGAGACCACTTGGCGATGTGAGCGTAAATAAAAACAAAAAAAAAAATGTCGTAAAAAAAACGTCGTAAAAAAATCTCAAAAGAGCCGCCAAGAACGCTCTTAAAAAAGTTGCAAAATAATCCTCAAAAAAAAAAAAAAAAAAAGCAAACGTAAAATTTGTGTGCAGCCTTTTTTTTCCCTTTTTTTTTTTTTTTTTTTTTTTTTTTCCTAGATCTGTTCGCGTTGTGCCTGCAACTCTATTCGAAAGTTTCCCATTTTTATCTCTTTCGTTTTTTTGCGACTCGTTTGTGTTTTTTTCTGTGGAGTTATTTTGCTTTTTTTTTTTTTTTTTCCTTTTTTTCGTTTCGTTTCGTTTACGGCTACGTTGCAAGCAGTCAGTGAACCCCATTTCAGACAAGGAACAGAAAACAAAAAAAAAAAAAACGCAAAGCAAAGTGAACCAAATAAAATTTTTTGAGTCGAGCAAATCCGCTCACTTTGGCCATCGCCAAAGTGCACGTGTGTGTGTAACATTAGGGGAGCCACCAACTTGGGCCGTTTCATCATTTACGGGGTTGTACGTTTTTGCTGATCCTGTTGCCTGGCTCCTGCTCGTGCTCGCCTCGTATGTATATTCAGGAGTTCCCGTTTGAGATGCCATGGGGGCAGCCCACGCGAAAGAAGGTCGCGGAGGTAACGAGGAGGTGGCGTTGTTGCGCTGGGCACGGAGTCGTCCGTGCGTCTAAGTCACTTGCCCTCCACATTATCGCTTCGCTCTGTTGACCCCTTCCACACCGCTTCTCTACCGCAGGATACCGCATCGTGCGCATTTGCCCCGAGGGTCCCATGTCGGAGTGCGACGTGGAGATATTCTTCGACTACATAATTGAGATAGAAGAGGTGAAGTTGCAGGACGCCTCGAGGAAGACCTATGAGTCGTTTATGCAGAAGGTACGAGAAGGGGAAAACAAAGAGGTGCGTTTGCTTGTGTATAACTGCCGACATGATAAACTGAAGGAGGTGCATGTGAGGCCAAGGAGGTGGAGCGGAAAGGGGTTACTAGGTATGAACATCAGTTATGAAAAGGCAAATACAATGAAGGAAGGAATTGAAATTGTAAGTATCGAGGATGGTTACTCAGATGTTAAGAATAGAATTGCACAGGAGGAAGACGTGATCATAGGGCATGAGGAGAATATCCTTCGGAATTGCGATGAGCTTTGTAAATTTGTGGAGGCTACTTTGTCTAGCGATGTTAAGGGGGAGAAGACTTCTCCAGTGGAGGTACCGTTTTATGTGTACAATAGGAAGAGGGGAGACGTGAGGAAGGTTAAAATGGAGGTGGACCTCACGTGGGGAAGGCATGGACTGGTCGGGTGTCAAGTGGGTGAAGTGGATGCTTCGCTTGTCGAGGGGAGGGGCACCCCCGCCGAGCATGTTAACACCGCGGAGTGGGCTAAGGATTTACCTGGTAAGCCGCTCGAAAGGAGTTTAGAGCTATCTGGGGGAAGTCACAACAGCATTCGCTTTAGCTGGAGTGAAGCGAATGGAGAAGAGGCCGAGGGGGAAGACTCAGGGCGACCCAACTATGGCAGGTTCAATACGGACTACAGTAGAGACGGCAGCGGTGCGGGCGAGTTTGCGACTTCGCTCGGGAGAGCATTGGAAAAATCACCTCCTGGTGCAGAGTACCAGAAGACGGTCGGGGCGCAGAGCTACGCCTTGAGCTCCACGATGGACGTTGAGGATCAGGGGTGCGCGGGGGGCAACCAGGGGATGAGCGCGGACGACGTGCTGTCTGATGTATCTTCAGGAGGGGGGAAGCAATCACAAGATGACGGAGGCACCCCCGAAGAGAGGTACGAAAAGTATGTACAGGGTATGAAAACATACAGCAAGGAAATCTTAGAGGTTCATAAAGACATGGAAGAGAATGGTAGGCTCTTGGAGGAGCTGAAAATACGCACTCTGAAGCATTTTTCCATGGGGGAGGAAGTTGGTTGGTGATGCATGTGATTACCTCGCTGGGATGTCCACGAAAGGGGACACAAATGGGAGAAGCGGAACGTGCAAGGTTGAGATGGATCGAACATGTCAGGGGGGGTACGTGATCTACTGATATAAGGACAAGACGAAATATTCCCCCAAGTCATACATGAAAATGGCCGAGCAGTGGCACCTCTCGCCGTGCGATTAGCAGCTCCTACTTGTATTTGCGTGTCCTCTATTTGGGGGGAAGATGAATGAACATATTGTGCTTTGTAATGCGCCCAGTAAGGTTATAAGGGGGCAATAGCCGTTCTATTCTGTTGGGGTCTCATAACGCGATTTGTCACACGTGACATGGTATTACAAAACGTACACCAACTTGTGTGTGTGTGGGCATCCCTCGCATGAACATGTTGCAGAGGGAATAAAAACTCCTTTGTCATTTTTTGTGTGCACGCTTCATTTGTCCGGCGGTTGCTCGCCATTGCTGTTTGTTTGACGTTGCTCTTTGTGTGACGTAGGCAGGGAACGCACGATACGAAGAGGGAAGGCCTCCCCAATGTGTAATTACATTAGTGTGTGTTTTTTTCCCCACCTCTTCACGTCATTTTTTAAGCCCTAAAAAAGGGGTAACATTTCCACATGCGTCTTCACAAGGAGAGTCTTTTCCCTGTGCCTATTTCGCCGGGAAGAAACTTTTAATTAACACTGACAAATCCTCTTAAGGGATGTACGCACATGTTGAGTTAACCATAAGCCAAGCGGTGCGTGCTTACGTTTTGTTTGTGTTAGTATGTTGTGTGGGGAAAGTGAAAAAAAAAAAAAAAAAAAAAAAAAAAAAACAGGACAACAAAGTCATAGGACCAGTTTGTCCATCTCGTTGAGTTCATCCTTGAGGTAGTCATCGCTCCATCGTTTTCTCTGCAATGGGGGAAAGGAGAGTGGGGTAGCATGGCTTAGTGTAAATAAAATGGTGTCCCTAAGGAGGGATTAAAATGCACAATCGCGCATTCTCCTAACGTGTCACATGCCTGTGCCGCTATTCCCTCCAGGGCCTCTTTTCCTACTAACCTGCTGTGCGTAAAAGTGGCGATCGCGTGCACCAAACGGTTGGTTGCACCGATCCAGGGTGCTGAGGCTGGAGAAGCTTATATCCGATCTGTCATGCACAGCAAACTCGTAATCATTTTTGTAATAGAGGAAGTAATGTATAATATCCTTTTTGATCTCGAGAATGGAGTTATTGAGGTAGGTACATTTGAAGGAGTGATCTGTGTCTTTCACCAAGTAGGAGGTTATTCCATTGAGGACATCCGGACAGGAAATGAAATTTGCTATGGCATTGGTTTCAATGTTTAATGCTTTTAAGAGGAGCTCTGAATCAATTGTGAATTTGAGTTCAGCCAAGCTTACTTCTTCCTTGGTGGTTGGGACCACTTTGTAACTGTTTTGTATCATTTGATTGTATATCTTTTTTGTTACTTGGGCTTTTTTAAGTAGTTCCATTTTGTGTGTTCTAAGTAGATGTAGCATTTCAAAAGTTATATGTGCCGCGATGGGAGGTTGTGAAGAGATCTGTTGGTATGTCTTTTCTGCCCAGAGGCGAACCCGTTCATCAGGATTGCTTTTTTTTCTTGAAGCATCTAGCTTAGCCATAATTTGCATTAGGGAAGGATACTTAAAATGTTCGTGAATGATTTCTTCGTAATTTTTTAAGGTATACATTTTGGGTACTTTTAAAAAATGTTCTTCTAAGAGTAGGTTGGCATCTTGTTCAGATACTTCCAGTTGCGATTCTGATGTGACTTCCATCAGCTCCAGACAGTCTTCTGCTATCCATCGCTTGGTCAACCCGCTCCACATGAGGTCGGTCGATTTTATTACCTCCCCTGTTAGGGCTAAGTAGAATCCAATGGATCCTCTTAAATTGGCTAACACGTAGGAGATGCCACCATACGGCAAAAAGGAGTACTTCAAATTGGTGTAAGCATATGAGGAGTGAAAATAGGAAGCGCTATTGTTGGCCAAGAAGGGTATAAACCCTCCGGAGCCTCTAACGCTGCCATTACAATATACTATGAGTGGCTTCTTATATGAAAAGATGAGGTAACTTAAATCATTAATGTTATACAGAATCTTTTTCATTACATCTGCATACTTTTTGTTTTTCCCTTTTTGGTACACCTCCAGTATTTTCAGCATGTCCACTAAGTTGTAGCCATGGCTACAGGAATCGTTGGTCACGGACGTTAGGAAGGTAAATCTTTTAGTGAAATTGATTTCTCCATTTAGTAGCTCCTTATATAATTGGTTAATACATTTTATGTCCATGTATTTTGTCCTTAGGAGTATTGCGTTCATGCCTACATTGCTTCGAGTGTACACACTTTCGTCTGGTGATGCTTTGTTCAGGTAGTTTGTTTTGTTCGTTTCTTCGTTGTGAACTTGCAGGGGGTCCATGTATATGTCATCGTCTTTGAAGATGGACGTTCGGATGAGCCTTCTGTCTGCGTTCCAGGTTGGGCATCCCTTGGCGCGCATATACGGGCAGTAGTGTGGACTGGCACTTGTGGTGAGGTGTTTAAGGTGGGGGCCCTTCACCAATTGGTTACACTTAAGGCGCCGCATTTTGGGGCAATTTTATTGCGCTACAATTACAGCGGTGTGTTTTGTCCCTGTTGGAGGGGGGCCCCGTGGCCATGCGGCCTCGCTGCCACGCTGCCGTGTATCTGTCCTCCGTGGAATTACTCCTTAACTTCAGTATGAACACATTTTTGTGAGGCACAGCGTTTAGAGCATATTTTCCCCGTCCCTGCTTCTTCCCCCTTTTTGTAGCACATGTTGCGACCTATATGTGTTTCTTCTCACCGCGATGGGAAAAGAACAGAAGCGTTGGATATATTTTTTTTTTTTTTTTCTTTATGGGAATTATTTTGAAAGGATGCCAGTCCGTCGAGCAGGCGCACACTGCCCGGTTCCGCTCGGTGCGGTAGGCCATTGGGGGAGCGAGTTGCGTGTGCGGATTCGAGAGCATTTGTTGCCCCTTCAGGGAGTTTTCAACAATGTCGACAAAATGTATGACCCGTTCAGGCAGTTTTGCACAAATGTCCTCATTTTTTCGCCAATGTTCACAAAATGTATGACCCGTTCAGGCAATTTTGCCCCATTTTTATGACTTTTTTTTGCGAGAACAGTTACACAACGTGTTTGAGTTGAGCAAACCCAACTGGAGAAGCAGCTGTGGGTTAGCGGCTAAGACATTTTTACCGATCAACGTTGAGAATTTTTTTTGCACCCATTTTTCCCCCACCTCAGCGTATACGTGTTCTGCTTTTTGAGACATTTTGTTGGAGGATGATATGCGCAAAATAGGGGGCAGGCATTTGGTGTGAGGTGTGCAAAAGTTTGTCAGGTTAAAAGAAAGGTGAAAAGGTACCTCCGGGAAATGTACCAAATGTGTTGCATATGCCAAGTGTTCAACTTTTGTAGCGTTCTGTTTTTGTGTAGTGGCAACTACGAGAGCCCCATTAAGTGGCGCGTATCCTTCTACAACATCTCACCTGTCATGTGGTCTGAGGTTCCCGCGTCCTGCGCAGCGTCGTACAGGAAATACAACTAGTGAAGAGGAGCGTTCAGTGTGCGAAATCAGCCCCCATGGCGAAAAATAATTCTGCCTATAGGGTACAGTATTGGGGAGGACATGGCTAACGCTGTGATGAGAAAAAAAAAAAAAAAAAAAAGGTGGTACAATATCAAGTGTACCCAATAGGAAATGATAACAATGTAGAATGAAGTTTGCCCACAAATGATGATAAAAGCGCGTTGGTGAAACACATAATACAAATTATTTCTTTTTAGCAACAAATTTTGCAAATTTTGCCTTTTCCATGGTCTTTTGCCATCACTGGGGGTAGCATGCAACTGGGTGCGTTGAATTTGTTTCCACATTTTCATCCCCTTTTTTTTTTTTTTTTTTTTTTCCTTTCTTTTTTTTGAAGACTCTTTTTTCAGTCTATGCGGTTGTGTATTCCGTATTATGTACAGGGGTAGGCCGATCGCTTGGGAGCCACCCACATTTTGTTCTTTTCCTTTTCGAAAGCAGATTGTGGTTGTCACGTACATTGTGTGCGTGTGTGTCCATCTTATCATTTGTACTCGTTTGTCTGCATTTACATTTTTGCGTTTTTGTGTTTCCGTGGTGTAAACTTTTTTTTTTTACGTGTATATGTGCTGATTGCACATTTGCGTGTACGCGTAGTAATTCAAACATATTCTTTCCCTCCCCCAATAACCCCCGATTAGCAAAAAAAAAAAAAAAAAAAAGGAGAATTAGGCCTGACTACTTGTCTTCTGCGAGCTGACGAGGAAGTAGAATTCACTCGTTTGTTCAAAGTGGCGAGTGAGAGGCACAGTTGTATTTTTCTCTTTTTTCCTTTTTGCGATCCCAGTGGGTAGAAGCGCAGGCGTGTATCCCCAACGAGTGGAAGCATCGAGTGGTGAAACTTGGCACCTGTCCAACGCACGCATAATTGACATTGTGTTCAGCGTAACTTTCAACAATGAGGTACATGAAAAAGTGCATGTTATTCTGCTGCGTATACATTTTGGTGACAGGGAGCGGAATACTCGCTTTCAGAAAGAACAAGGTTGAAGGGGGTGCCATAGGCATACAAGCGAAGGGAAGCAGTGGACAGGCGGGCCACGCGAATGGGCACCAAGTGAAAAATACCAACGCGTGTGGTGGTAATAACAGCAGTGGAGGAGGCGGGGAGTGTCCACTGGACACACACACAACAAGTGGAGTACAACACACGGAGAAGAAGCCAAGTGAGGCTTCAAACAAAAGCAGCATTCTGGACAATATTATAATCCCGGAAGATGCATTCGAAAGTGCTAAACGTTTATGCGAGTTTGTTGTAATAAAAGGTGAGCACTTTAAAGCGTTTTGCAAGCAGTCGATTTTTTTTAAAGACATTCAGCTTTTAAAACAGAAGGCTCCGAATTTGTATGCACAGATAGCAGGGGAGTCCTATGAGAATGAAGCTACCTCTAGCTTCCAGGTCTTAAAAGATGAAGGAGATAAGAAAATCGTCATGGAGGACGATAAACACAATCCCAAAATGTCCCTTTTTTTTTTATATGAAAAAATGTGTGTTGGGGGGATCCCTCTGGCATGCGCAAATATACTCAAGGTGGACAACGTGTTCGACATGAATCAGACGGGGAACGTCGCAGGGGGAAGTGGTGATACGGCGGAAGGGCAGGACGTTGAGGGTGACATCACGGGAGCGGTAGAGGAGGACGGAAGCCAGGGGGTCTCGGAGAACGTCACAGACTTGACCGAGGAGGACAGCAATTAACACAGCGCGATGAAGTTGGAGGCGAAGCAAACGGTATGTTTTTTTTTTTTTTTTTTTTTTTTTTTTCCCTTTCTCCGTGCACGTAACAATAACTGCTCTGCACACCGTTTATTGTGTGGCGGGGGGACACCGCGCTGCGTGTAGAATGCGTGCGTTCGCCAATTTTTCTGCTCATTTTCCATTTTTCAAAATTTAGAGTTTCGACTTTAATTAGGGGTTATCCCTCGCTTGCGTTAATTCGCTGTGCAGGACGTGGTGCCATTCGAGCACCGGCATGTGCACAAAAATGGAACTTTTTTAAAAATGGAAGACAAGTTCGCCCCCCTCCTCCCCCGGCGCTGCTGCGAATTGGAGGTGGTGAGGGGGGCAACTTCACAACGACTTTGCGGTGGCACAGCTTCGTTTAAAAGCGGATGGGGAAAAAAAAAACAGGGGCGATGGAGCAAGTGCGCTGGGCGACGCGGGCTGTCGTTAGATCACTTTACCCTCTCACCAATCTGCGCGGAGGGCACTGATCTGTTCCTGCACGTTGGCCATGTCCTTTTTAATTTTGGCTCTTCTGTAAAAGATGGGGCAGTCCCTATTCATGCATATGACTTCCGCGTGCAGGTTTCCCTGGCAGCGTTGGCACTCAGTCCACAGCTGGAAGAACTCATTTTGTTTATGTTTGAAATGATTCATTTTTTGCATGTAGATGGAGAACTCCTTGTTGGTTTTGCAGTGGTTGCACAGGGGGGGTTTTTTAATGGAGCTGTTGCAGCCGATGCATCTGACTGCCTTTTGTAAAAATTTCGAGAGAGCAGTTTGGCTGGACGTTAGAATGGTTTTATGTCTTGTGTGTTCACCACAGAAAAGGGAGTCTGAGTTGTTCATAATAACTTCGAAAATTCGTGAGAGTGTATTTTTAATTGCATCTAGGTAGTGATTATAATCAATTGCTAGGTTATTATCTAGGACGTAGAGTGGGTCTTCTGCTCGTTCATATTGTGCTTGTCCTTTAACTCCTTTAATAATAATATAGCTGACTCGATCTCCTACATTGGGTGCGGTGGCGCTATCTCTTTGCTTCAACTTTTTTGCCAGCTCCACGTGTGGAAGTCGTGTCTCGTAATCAGTTTTCCCCAACGACTTTGTAACGACAAGCAGACTCATGTCGATGTTGTTTGTGAGTAAATCCTTAATTTTACTTTTTGTATAATCGATTGCACTGTTAAGATTTTTTTCTATTAAGAGTTTATTCAAAACTGTTTCCATCATTTGCTGTATGAGGATGCAAAAGTCCCTCCTGACCGTTTCAATTCCCTTGCAGTCCATTTTTTCATGTTTTTCTGGTGTGGTGTAGAGGAGTCCCGCGTATCTTTTTTTGTTCAGGAGGAGGTAGGGGCAGTAGACTTTTTCAAATTCTAGCTTTATGGGGTGAAGAAACTCTTTGCTTATTCTTTGTGCAGCATCTTTTCCTAGGGCCATAGCTTCTTCAATGCTGCTGGTACCAAATTTGATCATGACTGAATCTGTGTCTCCATATACGACGGTGGCGTTGTGTTCAAATCCATTACTCTTATTGTAGTACTGTTCTACCTTTTCTTTCGTTTTGTCAATCATAGACCTGCCTAGTGTGGTGATGGAGACTGCGACTTCTAAACAGGGTAGCTGTCCTCCTGAGGCAGCACCTGTGTAGCCATATACAGAATTGGCTGAAATTTTCAGTGCTAGCTGTCTTCCGTTGAGTACCATTTTGGTAATTTTATTTTTTTCATTTTTGATTAGAAGTTTCACTTTTTTTCTTGCATCTATTAATTCTTCTACGATAAGTGGTAGGATTCCTTTTTTAACGGATCCCTTAACAAATTTGATATTATTTTTTCCTTCAATCGATGTGACTTCATCCTCGTTGAGTCCCTCTAACTGTGCCGTATTTTTGACCAACGTGGAGTAGCACAAATTGTGTGCTATCATGATGGATGGGTATAGGGATGCAAAATCTAGTGTCGAAATGGGTTCTGTATAATATCCTTTTATGGGTTCTAAAACGGTAGCCCCTTCATACTTTTCATTACTAGCAGATTTCATATACGTACTAGGGATAACATAATTCAATTCTTTACACTTGCGGTAGAGTTGTGAGGTGACTTTTATTTGTTGTCCTCTCGTAAGAAGGTAAATGAAAGGTGTCCCTGTCACTCTTGCCATTTCTACATAATTATAAATGAATAATAATTTATCAATTAAGCGGAGGGGAAGAATTCCGTCTTTTATACAATAGGTAGCGATTCTCTTCCTTGACTCTGGACTTTCATTTTGTAAATCATTCATAATGCTGTAGTGTACATCTTCCTTCTGTTCTTTTAAAAATTCGAAGGAGACGTAGTTCAGTGTGTATGACTTGAGTTTGTAATCTCTTCTTATAAGATCGTACACATCAAATTGTATCCTTCCATTTATATTAATTTCTTTCGTTTCATGGTTTCCAAATTGCTTCGATGCGAATGTGGACTCCTTAACAACACTGCTGAAGTTTTTTATTCTTCCTAGCATTTTTAATTTTTTTAAATTGAGAGCAGTACCTCTGTTCAGGATATAGGGTAGATCGAAATTAATAATATTATAACCAGTTAGGAAATCTGGGTCGAGTTTAATAATGAATTCATTCCATGCATCTAGTAAGGTTTTTTCATCATTGAACCATATGACGTTAGACCCCGGGATGCTAGCACATTCCTTTAGAGTGAATATAAACTTAGCACATTTTTCAATAGGATCCCCTTGAAAGTAGAGTATGGAAGATATTTGTATTATTGGGTCGTTTTTTGCTTCGGGGAATCCTTTTCCATCTAGCTTAATACATTCTATATCGAACGATACAATTCTTAATTTTGGAATTTGCTGGTACTCGTTTTCTAATGGCATGGGTTCTACATGTTCATAGGATATATCAATTTCGAAGGAGCAGTTGGATATTTTTTTGTGTCTTGGTCGAATGTGAAATTTATCTTTTTTACACAGCAGCCAAGAAGAACCGGTGATTTTTTTATCGATTATGTAACGTAGAATGAAAGGTAAATTTGCTTCATACACGATGCCACCTATGTTTTTTCCATTCACATTAATCACATTTTCGAATAACTTCTTCAAAGTAGGAACCATTTTGGGCAGTAGGACGGTGATTTTGAGAAAGTCTTTTTTTCCATCTCGCTTATAATACATTAGACTTTCCGTTTTGACCACTTCAATGTTAAGAATTTTTTGGTCATACATTTTGTATTGGCTGTTCATGTTAAGATTTTCATTCATCATGCACTCTAGCTTCAGTAGGTCTTCCTGTTCAAAGGTGCTGGGCATCTCGACGTAGAAGTAGGGGAAGAAGTTGTGCACATTGACCAGGACACTATACCCATCATTCGTAACGGTGTAAATGCGGATGACTGGTACCGAGATGTAATTCTTTTCATTGTTTTGAAACATGCTTCGGTAAGGAGAGTAGATGTCAGGTAGGACTCTTCCATTGGGAGTCATATCATTTGTAAAGACCATGCTCTTGAAGATGCTGTCCACGGTATATTCTATGTCAATCTGGAAGAGGATCAAATCCTTTTCATTAGACACGTGAATGAGTCCGTTGGCGTCATAGGGGCTCGGCCTTTCGTAGGTTGTGAGCAGCTGGTTGAACTCCTCGATCATGACATCTTCGGGCAGCTGGCCCATCTTTTCCTTTTTCAGTTTATCGTACAGCGTCCCGTAAGGGATGACGCTGGTGAAGGGGCACTTCTTCATTCTCTCCATGTCGGCGCGGTGTGCACAGCGGTTAAGGGTGGGTGGGGCTATATGAAAATAATGTACGTTTGGCGTTGCTCCCTACGTGGCGGACTCTTCCCTTTACACCTTACTTACACGATGTGTGGTGTTGTCGTGGGCGGGGCTTCTTCTATTTGGCCGTTCAGCGGTAGCCGATCCTCGGCCAGTTGCGGAGCCAGACGGGGCGCAGAATTGGTCTTTTCTCCAAAGCGTCCGCAAGGCAGCCACGATTTAGGACAGCGACAGGGAGAGGTGGTACCCTGGGCGTTTCATTCTGTTGGCACTGCGCAGCAATTACGCTTTCATTACGCGTCCATTACGTTGGCACGACTTTGGCATGTGCACCTTAACATCTTGGTCGCTACCCACATTGCCCACGTGCGGCAAATTGGTTAAAGGGAAAAAAAAGGGGGTACACGCAAAAGCAGATGTTAACCTTTCTTTTCCTCCTTTTGTTGAGTATATATCTTTGCTTCACCTTTGAAAAAACGAGATTTAAAAAAAACAAAAGGGAGTGTTGCATCAATTGGGGAGCACAGGCATAAGCAAAATACGGAAAAGCCGCGTTGGATGGGAGGGGCTTTTTCTTGACCTCAGAAAAAAAAAAAAAAAAAAAAAAGTGTACATAAGCCGGATGGCTGTTTTTTTTTTCCCTTAAATGATTTTCTTGAACAGGCAGGGGGCGAACACAGCGCGATACACATATATCACAAGAGCGTGTACGCGTGGTCTGGTGTGGGAGGATCTCCGAGGAGTATCAATGGATGAGCAGTTCAAACGTAACTGATGGAACATGACCGCAGTGTTTCTGTACTTGAATAACTTTTTCCTTTCGCGAAAGTCATGTGCATGTACATGTGCATTTTTTTTTTTTTTTTTTTTTTGTCTCATTTATTTTTATTTGAAAATGTGCAAAGGAAACTTTGGTACGTATGGGCAGAGAATATCAAGGGTCTCCCCCGCGCGGAGCAGATGTGGAGAACCTGCGGGGTGCTTGTTCGCCTGTGTGCCAGTGTGAATAAGCTTTCGTGCAGATCTTCACCAGGAAGGTAAGCACCTCCGCAGGGATACCCATCACAGGGGTGATTTTTTTTTTTTTCCCCACCCCTGTTGCGTGTAATTCGCTTGGAACTTCTGGAAAAGCGGGGGAAAATGCCAATGCCAGGATTGTTAAGAGCGAAATGGAAGATGAGGTGAAACCTGCTCAGCTTTTACGTGTACAAAATGGAAACCCAGTAGGGGAGCATGTTGTTGAAGATTCCCCTTTTGTTATAATAATTGTATGGACTCGCACGTTGCGGAAAAAAAAAAAAAAAAAATGAGGAGTGACTGATGGGGCACATTGCACTTTAAATTTCCACCAAGGAGGTGCTTTCATTTGGTGTTGTTTTTCCGTTATTTAAGCGACACATTTTATTAGCCCTTTGAAGGAGACCTAGCTGACGCAGGTCCGATTGGGGCCATGTTTTATGAGAGGAGCTTATCCACGAGAGGGGTGTTTGCAACGGGTGTATAATGCGGTGTGTATATACGATATGGAACGCACACAAGGTTCATATGTTTGTGTGTATTTTTATATTTTGCCTTTTCTTTTTACGAAAAGTGTTTGGCAGCATGTGGCTGCTTATGATTGTCCTCCTGTTTGTGACTCGCCGTGGGGCATTTATGCTAAAAGGAGAGCATATTTAAGGGGACAATGTTTTTTTTCCTTTTTTTTTTTTTTTGCAATGAGGGGAATATAGCTCACCGTGGGTCCACTCACCTTTCAGCATTTGACATTTGACATGTGACAGGGAGTGGTGGTCGTCGTCGCGTTATGCCTCTCCTGTGGATGATCGTCCGAGAAAAACACATGACTTTCGTATAACGATCAGAAGGGGAGTGGCGTGTTTTTTGCGTAAGTGCAAATGCATGCAGGGGAAGAAGGATGCACATGTAGCCACTCTCGCGCAAGTGGGCAGAGTCCCAAAGTGGACGTAAGAAAAAATGGTAAAGAAAAATTTTCCTTAAGGAGTCAGTAAATGGGTGAGGTTAAATTCACCTGACCGTGCATGCAACATGGGGAAAAAAAAAAAAAAAAAAAAAACGTAAATTAGCTAGCTATAGGATGAGCATATTACACATATGGGCACAGCGGAGGATTAACCAGGTGATAAAGGGGAGGACAAAAAAACCACTAAGACGACCTTTGGTGCCTGTCTTTAGGGAAAATTAGCCACCCACAAACACATTGAACAAAATTGCATGTACGAAAAAACTGCATGCAACTTGAAAATAGAAGAAGACACAACGACATGCTTTAGTGGTTCTACACCAGTTGCACATGCGTTGTTCGCCAAAGTGGCAATGTTATTAAGGGGGCATGTGGCTCCCGTTGTCCTCACACCACGGCTTGTGATGAAATGTGGTCTCATTCGAGAATATCTTCCCCACCTGCCAGCACAAGGAGATTAAAAATTGTACTTCTATGTTGGCCTTTTTTCCCCTTTTGTCTGCATGCACACCCTGCATGTGGTTTTGCTTCCTTGCGCGTTTATGTGTGCTGCACTTAGTGGTCTTGCAGTGGTCTGTGGCTCCGTGGACGCGCTTTGGCTTGGCCCCGTCGTTTGGTGTTCTTTGAATTTTGCATTTCTGGCTTGAGGTGTTCATACAAAATGGACGCAACAATGAATTTAAAATGAGATTAAAATGAGATTAAAATGAAATAAAATAAAATAAAATACAACATTAAAATTACAAATGTTAACATTAAAAACAACAAATTATGAACAAATTAAAAACAACACTTCATTTGGCTTTTTTTTTTCGAATTTTTTTCATTTGCCCAGTTTTTGTTAACTTTTTCATTTGCAGTTGTTTTGCTTTCTCTGCAACACCCCCACTTTTCGATCTCTTCTTTTTTTTTTAAATATTTGGGAATTTTTTTTGCCAAAACGTTTTTGTATACCAAGGTGTAACCCTGAAGAACAATATTTCATCCCTCCCCCCTGCATCACGTTGAAAACGAAAATGAAGATTATCAAGCTGGTCGCTCTTTTTGCCATTTTACCCATTGTGTGCTTGTTGGGGAAGGAAGAAGTGGATGTCACCCCCTTGAATGTTGAGCTTCAGAAGGAAGACCTAGATGTCACTTCCAGAATTAAAAAACTTTTACAAAAGAGAAAATTACTAATGATGTCCATAATTGCCGCAACGGTACTGGCTGCGGGAGGAATACTCGGTGGAGTGAGCTACGACATCATGAAGCGTCGCAAAAGAGACAGCATGGAACAGGAGGAAGAGCCATTTGTAGACATATTTGAATCGGAAGATATTATGAACGAGACAACCCCGTTTAAAAACAAGTCGACAACAGTACCCCACGACGTCTCAGCAAATATCCCAGAGGTTTCCGGAGAAGCATCCCCAGCCAATTTCGCAATGGACGGTATTGATCGTGATACAGGTGAGAACTTGGGGAAATCGTTTTTTCATAAGTTAGACAAAACCAGTGTTTGAGCTTTTTTTACCATTATATAAAGAAGCGTATTGTTGTACGCTGCGGGTACATGTCGGTGCTTGTGTGTGCATAATGGCCCGTTCCGATCCTTATTCCCATTGGTAAAAAAAAAAAAAAAAAAAAAAAAAAA